GATGGGCGTGGATTTCTTGTTTTTGTTATTACCTACGGCATTTTAGGCTCGGGACGGCAGAATAGTAGTTTTAAAGAGTTTTATCCCAATTTTTTTATTGGAACGTAGCTGTATTTAGAATATTACGTTCTTATTCAATTAGAGTAAACTTCTTAGAGTAGACTAAATAAATAAATATATATTGTGAATAAATAAATAAATATTTATTTTTATATTTCAGCGATCGATTTTACATTCAAAAGGTTAACATCAACGAACGTACAGAATTTTATTACAACGAATATTTTCTATATAATAATTATTATATTATTTAGGTCTAAAATGTAACATCATTTTTTCTTTTTATTATATTTGATCAACTTTGTTTTCACAATGCTATACTGAAAAATATTCTTAATGAATAATGCTTAAAAAATCCACTTTGTCCCTGGCACTGGTCAGTGGATTTTTAAGCCTTTTTTTATTAAAAATATCGTATCTCTTTCATTTTTAAACAACTTTATTTATAATGGAGAGCACTATTTTTACAGAATTAAAGAGTAACTTTCAAAAAACCTTAAGGCAATTTCCCCTACTTAATAACTAATAATTAAATTCTATAGTTTATATTTGATAGAGTGTATAAATGTGTTGTGTTTGTATAATATTACAGTTTGTATATTAAAAGTAATACCATCATCGCTTATGTCAAAAACTAAACTAAATTTTTGCTATTATAATCTGCAATTATAAATAATCATAACATTAACTATTTCATTAATTTAACGCGCGTTATTACTGTATGTAAATTTCTTCATTACAATATTTGTTTTTATTTGGTAATAATAATAGATCTTATTACACGTTCTCAGTATTAGAATGGGTCAAGAATTAGTGTGACAATATGACCATAAGACGTTACAGTAATTATATTATATATTAGTCAATATCATAATCGGCTGTGGCTGCGTCTTCGCAGGCTAGTTGTTTTTGAGATCAGTCAGTTGGATGCGGGAAATCGTTGAGTGCGCACACATCGCGTATCGCCATCGAATATATGAATTGCGATGTGTTTAATAAATAACAATATTCTGTAATATTTATGAGTGTTAGTTAAGTCTATAGTGATATTCAAAATGAAGTTATTAGTTTGCTTTTTTATCCTTATAGCGAATATAAATATTAACAGTAAGGCTTCATTGGAAAGTTATTCTCCTACGAGTACTAGTATCCTTTTCGAGGACACAACGAGAAATTCAGGTAAATTAATAATATTTTTGTCTTTTATAAATTGATGCATTACATATTTTTTGAATGAAAATTGTTCAAAAACTTTTCTTTTTGTCTTTTTAATATCAAAGTTGTCAAGAACTTAGAGTAGATTTTAAACCGAAAAAAAGGAAACACGAAACAGAAAATTACAATGTAGTAGAAATAACACTTCACCTATTTAATTTATAAGGTTTCATAATTTTACGAATTTAATTAGTAATTAGTGACTCCACCTGGCTAACCACAAGATATAATTATAAATATCCTTCAAATAATTTCCCACTCAAAAGTGAAAACTGAAATGAAATGTGTTGCTAATGGGTTTAGAAGAACCATTAAATTGTCGAATATAAATGAGCCATAACAGAGACAGGGAATGAATTTAATTAACAGCTTATGAAGTTAGAATAACAACAAAACACACTTAAGGATTAAGAAGATACATTGAATAAAAAAGGTTTTAGGCAGGTATTAGACTCCACTGCTGTTGTAGACCAATTGACTATGGCTGTAAATATACTTTTTATTTAACTTACATGTTACTTAATTAATAAAATATACTAATAAACATTATTATAAATAAATATAATTATGATTTAAATAAATATTATAAATTTATATTATCAATAAATATAGAACCCAAAGTAGATAAGGTATCCGTTCTGTTGAAAGTAAAGAAACTTCCGAAGCCCAGTTATCAAATGGATTACCAAAAATATATTCTTTCTATGACAGGCACGTTAAAGTATTGGTACCGGTTCAATCTGCAGCTACTAAAGTCTGCATATTCTAGGCTTATGGCCTATTAATTATACGGTTCTATAAACATGGAACCTGGTCCTAACAATAGGGACTTTACTCGATACAACAAATGTCATCTGCGTAACGTTGATTTATTGAAGTAAATTCAAACACTAGGAACTTAATACAGCAACGACCATTCAGAGCTTATAATTAAAACTTAAAATATCCAAAAGAAAAAAATAATAATGTTATAAAGTTTGACGATGGAGGCTGCATATGCTATTGTTACCGTCGGCAATGTCGTCAGATGATGACGCCTCTAGAAAATTTTTTATAAATCTAGAATATTTCCAAAATTACATAGGTACGTTAATTTCTTTGTAAAGAAGAAAGTTTTTGATCAACCCTTAGATAACATTGCAGGTTTAAGTCCGCTTTGCAAACTCCTGGATATTATTATTAGATATTAACTTTTACTGGATTGAAAAGATCTGTCTGGATATTAAAGAATTAGTGTAAAGAAAGGTGTACAAACACAAAGAACTTTCACTTAGCGATGAGGTACAACATATTTCATATTTCATGTAAGCAAGGTCAAGGTAAAAGTATGCATTATAAACCCGTTCTACACATTGCAAGGTTAAATCTGATGATTATGATGAAACCGAACTCACGGACGTCTAAAATGTACATTCGTATGACTGTATTAATGAACATTAAAAATTGGACTAACTATTGCTTAATATTTTAGATTTATATAAAATATTAAACTTTGATAAAAAGAAGATGTCAAACGATTCAATAGATATAAGAAAAATAATAAAAATATGCTATAAAAATCCTGTGAAATATCTTCAGTCTGTTCTCTCTTTCTGACAGGAATTCTATGTTCTAAACCTATTTGGCATGACGTATATAAAATAATTTTCTTTTGAGGAATATTCTTTGGGCATAATGCCCATTTTTAGGTATAGTGATTTCTTATATTTTCAAGCGCTAAATGAAACAACTTTTAAACGGTTTCGTATTTAGTTTATTAGGCAAAGTTTTCAATTCGCCGAATTTTTGTATGTCCGATACTTTAAGATGGCAGAATTTATTGGCGTAAATACCTTTGGAAAAATTTAATTTTGTATGGTGTAAGTAAGATAGAATCAATAAATCGGTTAAATAAGGTTAGAAATGTGATCAAATCAAAAAAAAAAAAAACATCAGCGGCGAACGCAATATAACTACAACCTACATCGTATCTCCGAATATTCTGACAATGAACTTTCGCCATAATTATCTTACTTGTTAATTAATATGCTTTAAAAAGATGCCAAAAGATAATGCTTAAGACGAGGTTTTAAGAAATTACCACTTTTTAAATCAATTATGTGTATTATAAGGCTATGCTAATATGCCAAATAAAAATAAACATAAAGTCAATGGTTTGCAAAAAGCACAAAAATAAAGATTTCTTATATTTTCACGGGTCCGAAACGTCATGAAAATAAATATAAACGCGCTGAAACTGTTTAATTTTATTTAACACAAACATAAATTTCAATAATAGGCTCATTAAAAAAAATCGCTATGATGACTCTACATAGGTTTTTTGGATCGATTTGACAATCAAAATGTAATATATTTCGTATTCACTTTATAAAATATATACAAAAATAGGTTTTTCAAAAAATAGGTTTTTATATCAGAAAAACAAATTTACAAAAATTTGTTTTTCTATGATAAAATTCTTAAATCAAGTGAGTGCGTCTTTACTCTCGATGTATATTCGTATTGGAACGTTAGAGGAGATACAAGAGGGCCTTAAATACTGCAGACTGTACACATTAAGAAATACATGTTTAGGATAGATATTATTAAAAAAGATATTAGAAACATATACGTTACGCTAAACGAAGAAACACACAAAAACCTGGCAATAGACAATACAGATAAAAATATATAAAAAGTAAATCAATAAAAAAGGTTGCCTTGAGCAACAATTCTGATTTTCAAAATTATACATGCTATATGGATATAGGGCAGAAAACACCGTTTCGGCCATTTTAAGATCCCGACCTTATTATGGCCAATTCAAGAATTACGAGCATGCAAATTTCGACATATTTAATAATTTAATATATTTGTCTATGCGTTAGCCTGACCTTGAAGAAGAAGGGTTCCAAATGGCCGAAGTAAAACCGTTCTGCCCTATATCAGACACCTTTTGGTAAAATAAAGATTTACCATTATCTATTCTGTGTTCTAAAATTATGAAATACACGTAAAAAGCTCTGACATAAGCGCTTTCAGAAAATAAACATGATATTTCATAAGTATTTAATACAATCTTCTGCAATCAGCAATTCGAAGTTCAAATATTTTTGATATAAATTTAGAAATAGTAGGGCTTTTCTGTTCTGTGGGTAGTTCCAATAAATTTACTAGTGATTTCTGCAATGGATAGCAAACCCCGCCTAGAATCTAGCTTTCGCTTCATTAAATCTCACTAAACTTTCTAAGCTTTCGCACTGAGAGAATTTTGCAATTATAATGATGAGCATATTATTAGAGAATAGCTCTTTTTAATGTCAGCTTATTTTTTTTTTATTTAATATCAATTCCGTTTGGGCTATTTAAATTAATAGAAAAAAAAAACGTTAAAATAGCGCTCTACCGACAGCCCATCAAATTAAAGGTCAAGAGCTAAAATTTTGGTTGTATATAGCAAAAATTTTGTGACACTTTTATGTGGGCTAGGAATATTATGACCAATGAAAGAAATAATAAATTGACTGCATGTAGAAATAAACAAACCGAAATTCGAACAATTTAGGGTTTGGGGTAAATGCTCTTGTAAATGTTTGCATACTTTACCACATTATCTTTATTTCAGTGATTTCACTTCCAATTTTATTTCAGACAAATCCTGCAATCGTCCTTGCAAATTCAACGTGAAACCACGAAGATGTTACTATGACTTTATAATCGAACCAATGGTTAAAGACAATAACAAAATGGTAATCGCTATTAACGATATGGTTCCTGGGCCTCCGATAAACGTTTGCGTCAACGATGTTATAGTGGTAGAAGTGAGGAACAAGATACCAGACCAAGATGTGACGATACACTGGCATGGCATCAGTCAAAAGGGTACACCTCACATGGACGGAGTGCCGATGGTGACACAGTGTCCGATAGCGTACGGAACCAGTTACAAATACGCTTTCATTGCGTCATCTCCGGGTACATTTTTCTATCACGCTGATTCAGGTAATTAAATGGACACTAAAATACGCTGATCTAGGTTATGATCATTAATACTATGACAGATTTTGTTTGTAACGGGATGTCAAAAGATTTTTGAAATCTAACATGTACTAACACTGAAATTGCCATGTTAATAAAATTAATGACAATGTTAAGCAATATAATGTTGCCAATTAAGGTCAACTGACTTTATAAGTGTAACAATTAAATAAAAATATTAGAATCTGTATGTACGATAAAACTTAATTACGGCTCTATATATTCATACTGAGAACACTTATATCCAAATGATGAATATGTTGGACCACGGATTGACGGTACAAAAAAAATCTTTAATCATTTGTGTTATATATTTCTATCTATAATCCTTAATTTTACTTATAATTCTTTAAATATCTGAAAATTACTGAATGAAATAGAGAAGAGGCGTATTTGCTAGAACAGATCCATCGACGAGGTACCTACTTTAAAACATTAGGCCGCACCCGTTATAATTTTAAATACTTTACATCTAGTTTTCCTATAAGCTACTTTACATTTACGACACTAATCTAAAGAGTCATGATTGCCTGCACGCTGACCTATTATTTTTCTTCATTTCACAATTTTCGACTTCATTTATGTCAGATTTCATAATTAGTTAGGCGTCAGTATATGTTTATGTCTATAATAGGATTAACTAGTTAGTCACTTATATTACTGAATAGATTAGTTAGTTAGATTAGGATTGAGTTGTTAGTCAGTAATATAAATCTACTAATCTAATTTTACCTTTTAATATTTAATATATTGCAAGCGCCATGATCACAGGGTTACTGAAGTTTTTGCGGGTGGGTGTCATAGGCAGATATATCAGATATATACCTTTTTTCTTCTAAGATACGCGCGAAAAAAATAAATAACCCTTCTTCTTTTTACTGCGTTTTATTCGATACCCGTACCACTATTTACTTTGTCACCGCAACACTCATAGTATCGTGACGCGAAAACATCCTTTTTTGATTTATCTTCTGGCCTTGACAAATGCGTACCATTGGATTCCAGAAAATTAACGAAAACAGGGTACATGGTAGTTTTCTCGCGATAAAATATCATTGTAATATTTTTTTATGTTTTTGTGATCAGGCACTTCGAAATGTTTCAGGAACATGTATAATTTATTATCGATATTCAAATTGTAGTGTCCCATCAAAGCGATGGAGTGTACGGCTCCTTGATCGTGAACCAGCCCCAACCACAGGAGGTCCACGCAGCCTTATACGACTACGACCGCAGCGTTGAGAACACTTTCGTCATCGGTGCCCAGTTTCCCGCTCTTCTCTCTGCCAACCTCGAGGATGTGGCTCAACTACCGCCTAATTCACTAGTCATCAACGGCGATGACGAAAACTTCAAGTACGTGTTATAATGATTGCAAGCATTGCAGTTTTTTTGTGTAACTTTTGTTAAGTCTATTTCGGAATGGCGGACTAATTCTGCACTATATTTATTGCACATATAAGAAGTAATGTTGCACATACATCAAATTATTCTGAATAAATAAAGTACTATGATTAGAGATCAAATAAAACCCGATTAAAGCTAAATCACGCTCTAAAAAGTTTGAAATAAGAAATTTATTTTATAGCGATAGCTTTCTTATAACAGCGATGACTAACGTCTTGCACTGCCACTGATCATAGTAAAAGAAGCTGTTGTGGCGTACGACTTCGCTGTCTTTTAGTCATTGCTATTATAATATAGATATGGCTATAAAATAAATTTCTTGTTTTAACCTTTTTAGAACGTGAATTAGCTGTAGTTAGGTTTATGTTTTTAAACTTATTTTTATATTTAATTAAGTTTCGTGTGTATTTAGGCCAATTAGCAAGTAAAAATCAGCAATATATACTCATATATATTTGAAATGTGTTAATTAAGCGCTTTCATTTGATACCCTACAGAGAATGATTGAATAGTATATATTTTTTTAGTTTATTACTTTATGCTCTCTGTATGTTTCGAAGTTATAAGGGAACAGATGAACATTCTTACATATATACCGGCTAAAATTATAACCTTCCTTTTCGCTTCGCCGTAGTCGGGTAAAAAAAAAGGAGTTAGTGCAGTGGTTAGCATGTTCGGTCTCCGATACGGTTGTTAAGCAATTTTCGCATGGTGGGTCATGGGTTGTTATTCTATTTAATTTGATTCAATTCCATTAATTGGCAAGGTCTATGCCTCAGCAGTGAGGATATAAACAAGCTGATAATGAGATATCAAACATAGTAACGGTGAGCAGCTTCACTCCATCCCTAAGCGAATTAAATACATAAAAATATTCAGTTACGGTTTCTTAAAAGTCTTCAGTTACGGTTTCTTAAAAGTCTTCAAGGATTTAAGTATAATTAAAGAATAATAAGATAATTAGGATAATGATAGGAATTAATGTAATTAACCGTGACCTGCTAAGTTTTATTTTAATAAGAATGAAAGTATTATTTTTAGTATTCATTAAATTTCTTTCTATGATGTTCTACTTACTCGAGTTATCAGTAGATTTCATCGGACGTTAGTTAAAATTTCAGTTGAAATTCATAAAATTGAAATAGTGGTTTCATACTGCAGTATAATTAAATTGAGAAAGTTTTAAAAACCCGAAGAAGACTCTTTGTTTGCGTAAACCAATAACCTCCAGTCTCTATCTTTCATTATATCATGTATATACACCTTGGTACATTTGTTATTACTCCTTACATATAGAATGGGAGCTCTTGACACTCGTAATCAAATTGAAAATTTATAAGAAGTGGCAATCATTATTGTTCGGTGATTTCTTCTTATAGTTTTGTCTATATATTGACTGCATATCCCTTGCGGGGTAGGCAGACAGGACTGAGCGCCATAAAGTACGGTCTTTATTTAAATCTTTCGTCTCGTCCATTTTCCTTAGTCTTCATACACGTTCGCCAGTTTTTATGTCTTCTGACGTCACCTAACAGCACGCGATCGAAGGTGTGTCGTGACTAGGGTTGCCAACCGTAGTATATTATATAGTGTTATACTATATTTTCAACAATAAAAACTAATAAATAAATTCATAGTTTATGAAGGCGCTTTGTACATTAACGTATATGCTTTCTATTACATTGTAATGTGTATGTTTTCTATTACAGAGTTTTCGTGATGGAAGGTTACGCGTATAGATTGCGCTTCATCAACGCCATTGCAATAGAATGTCCAGTAATGATTGAGATAGACCAGCATGAGTTGATAGTTATTGCCAGCGATGGGAAACCTGTAAAGCCAGTACCAGCCAGAACTATAAAGTTATACCCAGGTATGATTATAGTAGAGAGGGAGACTCCACGGGGCTCCGAAGTGCGGTTAGATCCGGCAGGCTCTGAATCCCGGGTTCTTTCACCCAAGATCCTTCTCGGCGGGTTTTACCAGGTGGACTGGCCTCGCTTAAGTCTGTCTTTTACAGGACGGAGAGAGAGCCCTGGTTAAGATTTAAGAAGCATTTTTGATAAAGCAGGGGCTTATCAAAAAAGATAAAGTTATAGTTGGAAGAGTTCCATAGTGTAGTTGTAGCGGATTTTTCGCAAGGGCGGGTCACATAAGATAGGTAATCAAAAATGTAATATCCGTTGCGTACTGTGCGTGGGAATACAGTTGAAGTTCACTTTATGAATTATTTACTCGATTGCTATCATACACCTTATTTAAACCCCCTTTTTCTCAACTTTATTATATTCCATGAAAAAGGCGCTTACTAGTGTACCATAAGTATCAAACTTCCAGTACACTACAGGTACTTTATATTACAAGAGTACTATGTTACAAAATGAACAAAAGAAAACATGTACAGCAGCTAGGGCTTCTAAAACTTGGTCTCATTACCAAAATTTGTAGATGTGTTTATAATAATGACTATCACAAATTGTTGTATTTTGAAAGTAACAGTTGAAATTGGTTGAAGTGCATTACCGAATAATGGTGGTACATTAGCTAATGATGCAGCTAGATGTTGCGCAACTCAATAAATGTTTTCTTTTGTTCATTGCATAGTAAAATATTGTTTGTATACTATTCAGTAAAATAAAAACAAAGTTGGACACTGAAGGAGATCATCGAAGGAGGTGAACGAAACAAATATTCTTTACGCCTCGTACTTTAATGTGAAGTAGCTGTTTTTCCAACTTTGCCCGCGTATGATGTAACTTCCCGTAGGTAATAGAATTTCCATTTCCGACGATGAAGGTACATGTTTAAAATTACAAATAAATAAATTAAATTCCCTTTTCTTCGCCTTCCTCGGCACGGTCCATAAGGATCATTGTGCGTTTAGCTATAAGCTAAACTTTAGCACCTAGTTTTTTATTTCAACGATTGATCAAGGACAATATAAGTATATTTATAGTATGAAAAAATGGAAATAAAATTACATAAAATCTGCGTCTGTTCGAAGTTTTATTCTCGTGCATAGTCAAACAATTTTCAATTAGTGTTGTTTATTTACGAAATCAAAGTTGACACCGGATATGGTCACGTTAAAGTGTTATTGACAGATTAAGATTAAACAAATATTGAAACGAGAGGAACACTTGAGATATTAGTCAAAAAATTGCAGAGGAAGCATGCTATAGAAATAGGTACATTATTCAACTGATTAATTTTATGAAATGGAGAGAGCGAAATATTATAAAGGAAACCTCAAAACTAACTTAACAGACTGTATGTTTGGAGAAAGTGATTTGTCATCCGTTCCTATCACTTGTCCATTGGCATTATAACATAATGTTATCTATTCTAACCCATTAACGCCCATAGTAAAACTACTGCATATTGCTGGATTTTTTTTATTATAACTGTAATTATACAGTGCCAAAGAAATAATGTAAGCAAAAAAAAAAAAATTGACACCAAAGACCCTTGTTATGTCAAATAACACACCGTAGTGCATTTTTAAATCGCTCTGTGCTATGATGATGGGCATATCACAGAGAGAACTTACTTGACCACAATATGACGATGAGGACTTCTGCGTGTTTTTTCTTAGTTGGACAATTAAGATCTTGCAATAGATCCTTTGAAAGCAAGTTGAGTAGTCACATTTTATTATTTTTCTTACAAGCTAGAATATGCTAGTGCCAGGTATTAAAAACTGCCAAATCCACCTGAAAGGTAAAAATAACTTACGCCATTTATCTTTGATACCCACGTGGTACAGGCTTATGGACTGATTCATTCGACCTCATCATCATCATCATCAGCCCTTTTATGTCCCCACTGCAGGGGCTCAGGCCTTCCTTATGGATGGTTAAGGAGGATGGGCCATGACCCTCCACGCTGGCCCAATGCGGATTGGAGGGTATTAACGACTGCAAATGCAGCCGGGACCAACGGCTTAACGCGCCTTCCGAAGCACGGAGTAGCTCGAGATAATAATTTTTTGGTCACCCATCCCGTGACCGACCCCTGCGAAAGTTGCTTAACGACAACGATCGCGAGCCGCGGCGCTTAACCACTACGCCACCGAGCTACTCATTCGACCTAAAGCACCTAATTTGTTATTGCATTCAAGTTATTAGTATCCATGTATTTTTTTTTTACTTGACTTTACTTTTCCAAATAGTAACATACTGTAAAAATCAGTTCTCATGGTGACAAGATGGTGGTGGTGTCCTTCCAGCGTACAAATAGAATTTCATGATTTTGAATCATAGATTGAATCGCTAATCTTATTCAGCAATTTTATTATTCTTTATTTTCATTTAAAGAAGTGGGCATTTTTTGGTACGGTTATCTTTCATTTTACCCGTGGCTCTACTTTCCCACCAATTTGGGTCACCATTATCGTCTTTTTGGGTGTATTTTTGGGATGGGTAATAGTGACTAGAACGTAGTTCCTCATCACTGCTGTTCCATTTTGACTCAATATCTAAACGCCGTGATATTACCTATTTTATCGCGTTGTACTCCTTGGAAAAGATAAATTATCTTCTGGGTTTTCTTCTCCATCACTAAAAACAGCAGAATCAGGTGAAACTAAGATCAAGTGGATCTTGGAGGCGTAATCTTTCTCAGCTATAATTGTTTTAACAGTGTCACCTAACCATAGAAAGTCACTATATGGAGATAATTAGTAAATACGTGTCATTTTAGAGTTCTGGAAAATAATATTTTTTAGTTTTTTTTTTTAAAGTTATATTACAAATACTTACTTACGAATACTTACTAATTAAATAAATATTACACAATATCACATACATTGTTCAGATTCCAAGATGAGTAGTCAAAGCCCCCGTATTATGGAGTATCTGAGAACAACGAAAGTAACACAACACCCAGACCCGACACAATATAGAAAAGTTCATTTTCTACATTGACCCGACCGGGGATCGAACCCGGGACCTCAGAGATGGCGACACCTTGAAACCGGCGTGCGAACCACTCGGCTGCGGAGGTCGTCAAAATTCGCCCATTGTATACAAGCGTGTACACAACAGTGTTGAAATGTGATTTGTTTTAGCTTATAATTATAAAACATAACATAAACTTACCTTGTAGAGCAGGTTTGAATCAATTATGGTACAGAACAATAATGTACAGTTATATCAACAACCAACGTAAGACAGATTGGGAACAACTTACTATGACAGTGAAAATTTCATATCATAGATAGTTATTTGTGTTTATAAATTATTTTTAATGAGATGTACACGCTTGTGTACTGCGGGCGGTAATGGGCTAATATTATAAGCATGAAATATTTGATTGTTTATTCTTACTGAGTAAGGTCTGAAACTATTAGACCTATTTTAAAAACCAACGGCAAGTTACATCATATACGGGTGACATAAGTTTAATTTCCGCGAGCTAATTCGCGAGAAAACTAGTACCACATATAATTACAATCTGCGTAAAATATGTAAATCGTTTGTAAGAGTACGTTGATGTGAACATAAACAAACAATTATAATTTTATTGACGCATTCACAATGCTATATACTCGTATATTTTTTATTGATAAATATATCTATCATAGAGAAAAATGCTTAAGAATCTAAATTATCTCCGGTGTTTAAGACGGCGTTCCTACCTGGTTCATATTGATGATTATTTTAAGGATCGCAATGCATGGAATTAATAGCCTTCGCTTTGTTCTATAAAGACTAATTATATGTTCAACCTATGTCCTACAGACTTTGAAAGTTGTATTTACTATTGTGATAATACATATTATTTTTTTAATGACATGATTTATGTAAAGTCATTACTTATGACAAAAAGCTGGTAAGTTTCTTTCGCTTGTTCTTCTTGTCAGCTAAAAGACGTCCTGAACAAGTGGTAGGGGAAAAAAATTTTTTTGGACGATTCAAAAGTGCTTGTAATAGCCTACTTGAATAAAGATATTTTCATTTTATTTCATTTCATTGATAGAATTATATCTTGCCTGCGTCGTGTGTCGCCATGACACCTACTGGTTTCATGGATTTCCACGATACACAGGATTGGATCTAATGAAATCAGTCCAAACTAAACGACTATATGAAAAATAATTAATTATGTATTTATTACATTGTTCGAATCTTAAATAATACAGTTCGATGATGAAACATAACTAACGATAACGATAAATAGCCAAAACAGGTTAAAACGATTTCTTTTCTTACGAGTGAGAGATTTACATAAAGAAAAACTTCTTTTATAAGAAACTTTCCGAATATCCATTTAAATTATCTGAACTACTCACCTACTTTTTAATTTAAAAATATAACCGTTAAAGCATTATTATTTAATTTGCCAATTTGCATTGTTATTACGGGCAATACCTGTCATTTTATTACACTATTAAATTACTCATCTTTAAATAGTTGCATTATTTTACAACTAAAGTCTATTTTTAGTCACTCATAAATATGCAACAACAATCCGTTGACTAGTGAGTGGAGAAAGGCTTTCTCGTGGATGTGTTACTTCTCAGTTTAAGGCCAGCCTTAAAGCCGGTTTCGTTTAATTTCACTTTCTATAGTACGGTGAATAAACTATGATCGCGTTATATTATCCGACTTTCATCTTTATTATGCACTTTATAAGAACGTGATTGTGCGTGACTTTTTTTTATTGTAAGTCATTAGGGCATATAAAACAGGTTGAAAGTACATTAAGGTTTGTTACACTTCTTGTGATTTATCAAAGAGATCTTTCATTACTTCAATTGTATAAAAGTAGCTCGGTACCATAGAGGATAAGCGCCGTGGCCCGCGATTGTTGTTGTTAAACAACTTTCGCTAGGGTCCATCACGCGATGGGTGACCAAAAAATTAATATCTCGAGCTACTTCGTGCTTCGGAAGGCACGTTAAGCGGTTGGTCTCAACTACATTTGCAGTTGTTAATATCCTTTAATCTGCACTGGGCCAGCGTGGAAGGTCATGGCCCATCCTCATTAACCATTCATTAGGAAGGCTTAAGCCTCTGCAGTGGGATGTAAAAGGCCTGATTATGATTATGATGATAAATTCTTATATCTCCATCAATATGTTTCTTACCAGTATAAAATCCGTCACTGGTTATATGATAGACATTCGAAAACTAAGACATAAGTATTATAAAAAAAAGAACTATTACAACAAACACAAATATCACGAATATTCTAGAACATTGAAAAAATGCATTTTCTTAGCTAAAAAAAAAATACGAATAAGAAGTTTGTATTAAAAAGTTAAAAATATATCAAAAGCCACATGGAAAGTTATACAAACTGAAATTGATATGACACATAATATTTATATTGACAAAATTGAATTTAATGGTAATATTATTAATGATTCTTCAAATATTTCAGACTTTTTTAATAATTATTTTATAAATATAACCAATAATTTTGATAAAAATAATTATGACATTAATTATACAATTAAATACTCAAATGACATATTAATAATTCAATCTTTCTTAATCCCATTGACGAATGATATGTTGAAAAAGTTGTAATGACATTAAATAATACAAAATCTGAAGGCTATGATAATATATGTACATATGTGATAAAAATATGTAAAGAACAAATTAGCCCTTTTTTATCATTTTTGATAAATTTGACAATGGAAACCGGAATATTTCCTAATAAATTAAAACACTCTATTGTCAAACCTTTATATAAGAAAGGCGAGAAAACTATTTTAAAAAAATTTCGGCCCATTACACTGATACCAGTTTTATCCAAGATATATGATAAAGTTATACATAACAAAAAAACATCGTTTTTTAATAAATATAATGTGCTAAAAAATAATCAACACGGCTTTCAAAAAAATAAGTCGGCTACACTTGCGGCCTTTGACTTAATTAACGAAATATTACAAAGCATTAACAAACGCAAATATACAACAGCTCTTTTCTTTGATATGTCAAAGGCATTCGATTTCGTTTCTCATGAACAACTACTAAAAAAAATATCTAACAATGGTATCAGAGGTACAGCTTTAAATTGGATTAAAACAAAATATAATGCAATCTGTTGAAATAACTAAATTAGATTCAAAGGGCATAATATCATAAATCGAAAGTATCAATCAGAATTAAAAGTAAAAAACATTGGAGTACGACAAGGCAGTGTTCTTGAATCTCTTTTATTTTTGGTATATATTAACGACCTACCAAATGTAACTACGCATAAAAGTATTTTATTTTCTGATGAAATATCAGTGGTAGTGACGACTAATAATAATATGAAAATTTCTGACCACGAAAACGACATAAATAATACGATATCCTGATTATTACAAAATAGCTCATGAAGTGTATCCCAGGAACACTAGAAATAAAAACAGGCTAGTTCTTGACATAGTCCCAAAAAGCGCGCGATTTAAAAATAACTGCTACTGTATGTGTCAAACAAAATTTAATAAGATTCCGGAACCTATAAGGAATACACCTTTTACTAGATTTTGGCTTGCTGAGCGTTCCTTTTATTCGTTGCATGAGTTCTTAGGCTATATAAACTGAACGTTAGCCTGGGTGGATTAATCAGTGCTTATAGTATCTTCTTTTACTACATTTGCATGCTATTGTTAATGGCTGAACAGGCGATAATTGTATTACCTTTATACATCTCTTTTGTTTACCCTATCCAAACGCAAGTAAATAATAATAATAATTATTATAAGATATTTTATTATAAAAATGATAATTATAAATATAAAATTTTAATTAGATGCCATTAAAAGTAGATCAGATATTTTGTGACCTTGTAACGGTACGACAACAGAACGTGTTATATTTAGTTTTCTTATAATTTAATATGCTGAATATATCGTATTTAATTTTGTCTATAAAAATAATCTCACGTTTTTCTTGAATGAATTCGGTTGAATAATTTTACTGTACCTTCTTTGAAACCAAATATAGAAAGAATAGCTTATATATTACATTTTATGGCATAAAATATCATGAAGAGAGATTTCGGCTTGCCCACCCGGAATAAAAAATATAATAACATCGTTTATCTATATAATATAGGCCCAGGGCGGCAATAGGCCCGGATAGACAACTTTTCCCAACCAAGGCTGATACTTGATTTACGTTCCCACCTTCCATTAGGCGTGGGGGGGAGGGGGCAAGGTTGGACCGCTCTCTTCCCCTTTAGTCCGTCACTGGTTATATGACAGACATTCGAACAACAGATCTTTATTTATATTCAAACGCACGAATATATTATCTTTCAAACTTTCACATTTATTATAAGAAGTAGGATGCTACTAATGTTCGATCCGGACGTTCACTCTAAGTTATCATTATTCCGATAACCACCTTAATTATAATTGCAAATACCAATCTTATAATAGACTTAATAAAACAAACTTCGGTTTCTTACGTTTGATATTTACATGTAGATACATACATAGGGCAGGCGAAAAAACAGTCAATGACTCGAAGTATTATCAAGAACAAGAACAATATGAATCGTCATACGTATCGCTTTGGTCGTCCGTTTTTTGGCATACGTGTGGGATAGGGTCTATTTAGCACGATTGTTCTAGATTTTTCAACAATCATACTAACGAATTAGTATATAATCAAAAATTGTCTAATGAAATACTTCGAAATATCGGAAATGCGTTCTGTAATATTTAGGAATCTACTTTGACCAAAGAAAATTTACACAAACCTATACGTTGATGGCTGCATTTTAACTATGAAGAATTTTTAATTTTTTTTTCACTATATAAGAAAGGCTAAAGACTTAAAGATATTGCTATGGAGTTTCTTGCTCCTGTTCTTCTTCATAGAGAAAAAATTATATCAACAACTTTAAGTTGTATTAAAAGTACCAAATAGACTACAGATAATTTTAACATCAACTTCGATGAAATTTGTTATTTATATTTCAGGGGAACGTATGGACGTGGTGCTGAGAGCGTCGCAAGAGTCCGGCGGGTATTGGGTGAAGGTGAAAGGTGACGGCGCGTGCGCAGGCATCACTGCAACCGCTATGCTCCTATATTCCGGTTTCAATTACACATCTATGCTGCAACAGGGACTGGTGAGCATTGACGGCTAACGCGTTTGAATTTGCCACTAGTGGTGCTAGTGCAGCGCGTTTCCATTCAAAGAAATAAATTTTCGCTTACTTTGGAGTACCTGAGATTTATTAAAGCAATTATGAATTACGGGCCAAATCAAATCAAAATCATTTATTCAAATCAAATCAATCTAGGCTGTTACAATGCCATCGGTTCGTAGAATAATGAATGTCAGTGGATATCGGTGACTTAACAACGCAACTAAAAGGCCGTTTTGAATTATGCGGGATAAAATAATAGCTTAATCAGAGCTCAGTGTTTATTGGGAATGTTCGATATGTTTAATTAAATTGTTTATTTATGTATTATGATATATGATTAAGTTCTATCGTAGTGTGTAAATGAGCTTTAATAGGACCTCTTGCGACTGTCGCGCCATCTGGTGAGCGAGAATACGGTAGCCCTTATTATTAGTGTAATTCTGTTTTTTCTTATTTAATTTTGTTTTTTTTTTCATGAAATTGCATTATTATACTCATAAACCCAAGCATGGTTTTTATATTGAAATTATTAGCTCTAATAGTTTTAAGATTTAGTTACAATCGATAGAAAATAGAACATGCCAAAGTTTACAGATAAGCTACAGGTCTATAGTATATCGAATAATTTAAAGACTTAAGGTCTAATATCGAATAAATTAGCGTTGACTTAGTATTAATCAATATCATAACTTTATGTACAATTTAATGATGCATTAATTATGTTCAAATTATGATATTATTAACGCAGAATGCTCACTAATGAGTTTATTTTTAATGAGCTATAATTTAAAAAAATCTTTTATTTTTTATAGAATGAAGTGTCTCAAGAAAGCGATCTGGATTCTAACGGGATTGTCTACGGTCAATTGTTGAAATCTATACAAGAAGCACCCCAGGATGTCGTAGAGGAGACAGTTTATCTGGGAATCGATAGAAAACAGTCGAATATTAAAGAAAGTGATATAGATTTTAGATATATAAGCGATGCCATACCAAAGAAACCTTATTACCCCGCTTCTTTTGGTATGTAATTTATTAAACTTTATCTGCTCATGTATTTCAGTTTCATACTCCCAAATCCTCTTGGGATTATCAATAGTCTTATGTTTATATTTGCAAAGATAGATCTATAAGATAAAAAAAAATTGCTAATTTGTTATTGTCAGATAATATAAAATTTTTTAAGGTTTGAAATCAAGTGGCGTGGTACAAATCAATGGCAAGAGTTTCTTGTATCCGAACACACCCATGCTCTTGTATCCTCAGGATGTCAAACAGGATTTCATATGCAAAATCGGCGAGGAGTCGATGAATCAAGAACCTCAATGTATAATGGTTCTTGTGCCAAAAGGAGATATGATCGAACTAGCATTAGTTAACGAAGGTGTGTTGTTATTTATTACAATTTATGTGAATTATAAATTTTGAAACAAAATTAAGGAAGACTTTGTTTTCGTGATCAATATATGATCAACAACATTTACGCTTGAGTGACTCGATTGCACAGTGGCTACCACAGAACATAGAGAGAGAATAGAAGTAGTAAGTGGGCGGGGCACGCGTCGCTGGCATATGCGCTTTTACTCATATGACGCCCTTTCCTCGGTTTTATGTTTGCCAGTCGTTCGTCAATCGTCGAGTGGTGATTTTACAGATTTTTTCTATAAAAAATGCCGTTTTGTGCTATTATCACTTGCAAAAAGCAAAGCAAAGTATACAATCTAACTAATGCAAACATTTCCTTTCACTGGTAAGTACAATTTTAGTGCTAAAATATAAAAAAACGTAATAATTTGACACAATGTTAAATAAAATATACATTGATTGCTCAAACCAACATCAATGTTTCTGACCCCATTACTAAACAACAATGTAAATCATTTTGTGCACTTTTGCAAAAAATAGTGCTGTGCCTCCATTTGTCTGAAATGTACCGATAGGCTGCTGCTGCTCGGAATCGTATTGTTAATTATATGGATCGTAATCGATAACTAAAACATATTTATTTAGAGCTTTTCTTTCATCATTTCATAACAACGTTATCGATAAATATATGCCATAATTATATAAAACTAAAAAATACTGTTTACAAGGGAAAATTATAGATGAACTGATACTGAACAAATGAAATAATGAACTGTCCAGGCACTTTTTTTACGAAGATTCAGTTAATTATTTACACGCAGATAAATATTAAAAAATACTGATGTGCTATAAATATCTAAGTTACGAAGTATATCACCGTTTTATGAACAATACATAAATTAAACGAAACTTCGTGAAAAGCTAAGAGTTGGCCTAATAGGTCTTGTTAGAAACTGGTGAAACTGGATTTCACTTATTTTGCATTACTTATATTTCAGTTTCCCTAATAACTTTACAACGGATTGCCTTGTTTACATAATTAATTTTGCCCTATCTGTTTTAGACCTAAACCTATCAAATGAATTTCAAAACAACATAATATCTATACAAACAAAAAATTATGTTTTCAACTAACGTAATATTGTTGGTGGTGTGAATTTAATTTACAAAATTAATTTTTAGGCGTCAATTTAATTTACCTTATTATGCTGATTCATAATCAGGAACTATTATTATAGAAATCGAGTTAAGAAAGCCACTTTAAAGAACCGCCCACAGAACAGCTTTAATCAGTTTTTTTGTTGCTCCATATTTGCACATAAGTTTATAGACGCATGTCTCAAACGGATGTGACTTATATGTAGATTGACGTTTGTACGTACTTATCGCTTTTGTGTCTATCTTCAAACTTTTTTTGTCACGGCTTTCAAACTCATAATTGACCAGCAATTCCTTATTGTCCAGTCGTTGCAATTAATAATGTAGCTACTACTATTATTACAGATATAAAACTTAGAATAATAAAGTAAAACAAACATGGCTATGATCAATTTATTATTGTAATGATCATATTAGTTATTATGAAATGAAATGAAAATATCTTTATTCAAGAAGGCTATTACAAGCACTTGGAATGGCAAGTTTATTTTTATTTCTACTTTTTTTTGTGAAGGAATCGTAATGTTTTCTTGCGTACATAATATTTTCATTGATGTATTGAGAGGCAACAGTCAAAATATTTATTTCTTTAAATATTTCTCTGAGAGATTCTCTAGACCGTAAATTATATATAGCGTGGACAGCTCTCTTTTGTAGAATAAAAATATCTTGAATGCTAGCCGCAGAACCCCATAACAATAGATTATACGTCATTCATTACACTATGAAAATAACTAAAATATACCAATCTTGCCGTTTCAACATTTGTTAAGAGTCTAATTTTCTTAACAGCAAATGCTGCAGAACTCAGTCTACTTGACAAATTATCAATATACCAAAATACCAAGGAACTTTGTCGATTCCACCATCTCAACTTTTTCACTATTTACATTTATAAGTATATTAACATGCCTCACATTAGGTAATGCAAACTTTATGTATTTCGTTTTATTTGAATAAAGCTTTAAATAATTACTATCAAACCACTGTAGAAAATTGTCGAACTGAATTACATTGAACTGTTTCATAACAAAATTTAAAGCTCTTATTTTATCAACTAATATGTCACATCACTAATATGCACAATCGGAATGATACCAGTAAGAAAAAAATACAAATTAGGCTTAATGTAATTAATACAAAAATTCTGTTGTTTTCTTAATTTTTGTTTTTTTTACACTTTCCCTCGCTTAATTATATTACTCCACAGACATACGATAGAGTGTATCATTAAGTTTTCTTAGTTTTTGTACTGCGTTTTTTAAAAGATATTTTAATAAATTATGTAGGGAAAAGCCTTAATTTTTCAGTATTCACTTGGTTACAGCAAAATCTAATATTAATAGTTCGCACATAAAATGATGACCCCAATTTTTTTAAATGTGCATAATCTTAAAATATTTTTTTCCTTCTGGTATCCCCATATACAGCCACGTGACAGTTCAACATTCATGTTAAAGTAAATTATTTATTATCACGTTGAATTAGAGTTTGTTTTTAATCGTGTGATTTCTTAGTTTAGTATCTTTTTGAGATTTGGTTTATGTTATCGCGAACCTATAGCGTGGCGGTTTTTCATGTAGTGAACAAAATGATCATTTCATCTAATCTGTATTTGTGTGCGGAGAGGCGACACTCGGTTCCCATACTAAATTAATATCATTATACTTCTAATCTCTCTCTATGTTCTGTGGTGGCTACCATTTTCAATAACTTTCCTTAAGATAGTTGACCTAACCAAACGTTTACTGGGTATATCGAACTCCACTAATACAAAAGGCACAAAATATCAATTGTTATCTTCTGAATAAATTCTACATTCATTTGTGAATTTATTGAAAAATGAGATATTTTCTCATTTACTATTTATTATCATATGATTTGAGCTCTTCGATTTTAGTAACCACTAAAGTTTTTCAGTTACAACAGCAAAACGCATTGAAATAATTTATTTTCGGTTTCGGAAAGATGTTTCTAGCCATTGTCACGTAACAAAATTGCAAAAGCAAACGACTTACCTGTCATAGGTGATGTTATAAAATTTTGTTGCGTAACACTCATTGTAAGAACATTATTTGTTTTGCATGTTAGTTTTATCAATTGTGTCAAAGCTGTTACTTTTTCAAGTGATTTCTCAAGAGGAATTACTTGAAAAAAGAAACAGCTTTTGTCGTTAAGTGTTTTTAACTTTAATAACATTAATAGCTTTATCTTAACAGTACGCTATAACGACGATTTTTTTAGTAAAATGAGTGAAATCTATATTTTTATTATATTTGATCAATTTCGTAATCAAGTTAAAAAATTTGTAACAATAATTATTTCGGCTGTTTGAGTGGATTGCCTAAACATTGATGAGAATACGCGATGTAGTAGCGAAAAACTAACAAATGCTTGAAAGATTCATCAGTCCTGTTAGGTCCTGGGTAGCTTAGTGGGTAGAGCAGTCGCCCGAAATGCGAAAGGTTGTTTCGATTCCCATCTGAGGGTGCCAGGGAAAAGTGTTGTGGATTTTTTAAGCATTTTTTTATTAAGAATAATATTTTTATATAAATTTGATTAACTTAAAGATTTTCATTTATTATTTCAGGTTTCGAGAGTAAAGAATCATATACATTCCATATTCATGGATACACTATGCAAGTGGTATCGACTTGGCAACAACCACAAGGAAAACCAATATCTAAAGAGGATTTCCAAAAACTAGACAAAGAAGGAGCCGTTATTAGGTATCAATGATATTTACTGTTAAAGAATAATGGCAACATCTGACCCCTAATTTTCGAAACTTTGCATGGATGGCAATATGACAAATAAATAATATATGATTAATACATTTTATTTCTACAAAATGGTGAATTTTAATATCAGGAAACTAAATTAAAATATTAAATGCTGCTAATAATTATCAAGATAAAACGTCTGATGATAGTGCAAAAACAAAACGCGAAAGTCTTCTTAAGAAACGATCTGGTCTACGAAGAAGTACTTTAATAATAAAACTATATTTTGGAAGTGTTTTATGAATTTTGCGCCGGGCAATGAAAGGGTCATTTATTTAATCGATTTTATCGTTTCCTGTACATTGCAATTAATTCTATTGTATTTAAAGTACCATTAATACGCTTAATAACAGAATATAAGTTCAATATAAGACTGTATAATATAGATTCTCTTGCCTTTAATTGAAAACCACACAATATGTCAAAGGGTTGTAGTTTGATGGTTTTTGAAAAATCTATCACATAAATCAACGATGTGCAAAGATGCAACATATAACATCACAATGTATTTCATACCAATATCTTTTTAATCCCAACTTTTAAATGAAAAGGACAATTAGGATTTTGTTAGTTTAGCTTATGCCTTCAAATACACGATTATTTCATTTATCAACGGGGCTTTAAAATTCAGGTCCAAAACTATATGGGAGTTCGCCATTCTTCTTTTTTATATAATCCTTAGATTTGTTTGAGAAATTTCACAATCAGGTGATACAACGACATAAATATTTTTATTTCCCCGTTAGGTAGCAATACTTGTTTTACTTGTGTTATAAAGAAATATTTTCAACGTTGTTTAACCTATATTTACAAATAAGTCAATAAAAGATAAATCATAATGTTTCATGGAACTTGCATTGGGTTAATGGCGCTTTACCTTTACAGGAATCTTCAAAATCCACCTCTAAAAGACACAATTGTCGTACCAAACAGAGGCTACGTGGTCGTCAGGATTAAACCCGAACAAGGTGGCAGTTGGCTATTGGAATGTAGATCCTGCAGTCTTTCCTCTCTACCAACCGCTGTCATCATTGATGTACCTCAAAAAATGCCCAAGACTGTTGTTCGGTCGTTATCAAAATGTGGCAGCTATAGGCCTCCAGACGTGTTACTGAATTGACATACTTGTTATTTAGATAGTGTGCTTAAAAGGAAATCATGAATAATTTTAAAGAGAACGTCACCCCAAATAGTTTCGAGTAGTTTGCCCATTGTCGAATTAAGAAGAATCACTACATAGTATAAAACAAAGTCGCTTTCTCTGTCTCTAAATCCCTACGTATGCTTAAATCTTTAAAACTACGCAACGGATTTTGATGCGGTTTTATTTCATAGATAGGGTGATTCAAAATGAAGGTTTTATGTATAATACAAGACCACACGGGCGAAGCCGCTGGCGGAAAACTAGTATAAAATAATCGATTGATATTGTAGAATAATGGTTTGCAACTAATTAATTAAAAAAAAAATTTCGATGCGTAATATGTCATCTTTATTGATTACTAGTATTCTCTAGCGGCTTCGTCAGCGTGGTCTCTAGGGAAATGGGATAAAATGTATCCTATTATCTAAGTCGGCTAATACCTTACTCTAAGTCAGCTAATCTGTATACCAAATTTCATTAAAATTCGTGATTGAAAGACGGCGTGATTGACGGACAAACATCCAAACAAAGAAACTTTCACATTTATAATATTAATATGCCAATGACGGGCGCATTGATTTCGTGGCATTTTCTATATCATCTTTACGTCTAACCCTAAGGCTCAAGGAGGGGCAAATTTAAATTGATACGGGGCACTTTAGTTTTGAAAACCAAAAATCACTTATTTACCTTAGTTGATCATATTAAGAATGATAGAAATCAAATATGTGAATATAAAGCTCGATGCGATATATAGATAACTTTAGTATTCTTTAAAAATACAGTCTCAAAGACAGCGTTGAACAAACGTTGTAGCAGCATTAGAGGTTCAATCAAATATGACCTTTATTACTTTTGAACTGGATCCTATTAGATAGAACCTTCCTGCTATGACTGACCTTTTTAAGAATGGCATTAGGTACTGAAGACAATTTTGTCATAACAAACTCCATTGTCTTATCAGAATATTTATAAGCAAGGAATCACTTACGATGTTAATTTGAAACTGCATAGTCGATACAGTGGCGTAGCTACCAAGGGGCTAGGCGGGGCAGTGCCCCGGGGCCCTCAAGCTCAGGGGGCCCTCGAATCTTTACCAGAAAATCTCAATCGAACTCAACTTTTGAAAATTTCTACCATTTTCAAAATAAATATGACAGATGACAACTCGAGTTTAATCATGTGAGAAATTCCATAGTTATAAAAAGGGAATTCCCCTAAATTATTTGTGTGGGTTGACAGTGTTATTAATGTTTTCATCAATTTGTCGGATATCAATATCTGCATATTATTATTTATCGATATGCGTTTTTGTGATTCACGATTGTGAACTTCGAGTCAAGACTTTTTTTCGAGATTTCGTTTCGCTTTCCTTTTACTTGTAAAATAAATTAGATAACTAATATTATGGACAAAAAAAAAGAAACCTAGTGGTGCATTTAAACGCAAACAACGCCAAGAAAGAGAATAAATATAAACAAAAGTTGCCCAAAATTGACAAGTTTTTTAGTCAGCCTTCTGCAAGTACTTCTGGACAAAATATTTCTATTGATAATTTTTGTAAATAGCTTGCATGGCGATAGATTAAATAACAGTAAGCTGGTGCAACGTATATATGAGTAAATATATATATAATAGACCCTTGAAGCGTTTCTATTTCGTTTTATTGCCCAATACCTACACCAAGTATAAAAATAATTGTAATTTATGTTGTTAGTGTTTAATAGTTTATTACCTGCCCATGCACGAAAAAGAGCTGATGATAAAGTTGCTTAGCATTTGTAAAGTATTTGTATATTTCATGATTTTACTTCAAAAAACCTTATCAATTTTGATAGCAGTGGGCTCCATTTTTTTATTTGCCCCAGAGCCCTAGGTTACCTAGCTACGCCACTGAGTCGATAATAAATCTATCGCAATATATCATGGTTTATAAAAGCGTAGACAGTTTTGGATAACATAATGAACTGTTAATTGTATTGATGAAGTATTCTCTTATAGAATATTAATTTAATAAGCCTCGAATAGGAATTAAGAATGATGTAAATATATTTATTTTTTGTTTATATTATGCATAGTGTTTATTTGCGAGTTCCAAGTTGAGCTCAGACTCTGATAAAACATGTTCGTTAATTGTCATTTAAAAATAAAAGATTCTAAATGAAATGAGCAGTAAAAGTGTAAGATATAGATATGATATTATTAGTACTACTCTAGTTATTGTTTTATTATTTTTGTTAATAATTATAGAAGTTCGCTGATACCAGATAAATCCTACACCAAGAGTTACGAGCAACAATTATTGTCGTTGCTAAGGATTTTATCCATCTAGGATTTCAGCTCCCGTTAGTGTTAATTAAATCACTATATTACAAACTGTATAAAACGCTAACTATTTACGAATGTAATAAAATACATTTTAATATGTGTTGACAAAATAAAACTTTTGTAAGTTGACTTTTGTATTACTCGTTTATGTATTTATTAACAAAGTCCATATATCGAGATACATTCGTATAAACTGTAGGAGCACCTTTTTCCCCACAAGGAGAGATACCCCAAGAAACTATTCCTACTACAATAGGAATAAAATCATTATTTTCTTTAGTTTTCTTTTCTTTGCCATGTTTCTTATATTCTTTAGCTGAATCATTATCCCTATTTTTGTCACCAACATTGTCTATATTTAGTTTGTCATCTGAATGCGTAAGGTTTATGCTGTTGTTTTTAGCTGATTTTACTGTACGTAGCACTAATGGTCCACCTGAATCACCATTGCAAGCAGCTTTGCCGCCGCCTAATGGACCAGTACATATATTGACATCCTTATTTAAAGGATTTTCTTCATTTTTTTCTAATAGTTGCTCAATTTGTTCATTGCATTCTGAAAAAAAGTAAAACTAAAATTAAAATCGTCGAGTTATAACTATTAATATTTTTGCGAATTAATACTAGACTCTAAATTATTCAATGCCAAAGTAACCTAGAATGTACTAACTTTCAAATGGCACATATGTTACTTTCAGCTCCTGCAATTTACTAGGAAGATCTGGAATGAACATCGTCGTTCTTAACGTCCCCCATCCTGGTAGCATAAGGTCGGAATTGTTTAGATCAACATTTTTGGCCAGGTTTATGGGTTGAATTTCATTAGTGAAAATTATTTTATTTTCCGTCTTTAGCATAGCTATATCATATGCTCCTATGCCTCTGTAAAAGAAATAATTACCTATAATACTAGAGACCTATACATCTTCACACCCGCTATTCCTTCCGGGGTAGGCAGAGGGAACCGCACGCCACAAAGTACAAAGTACGGTACTTACATACATCTTTCCCTTTATTTATTTATTATTCATATAGGTATAAAGTTTCATAAAAATTCGTTAAACATTTTTGCACAAAAGAGTAAAATACCCAAACTTTTTTTTAATACGGATGTTAAATAGTGTGTAGTATAAATACTTGGAAATGAATTTTCTTTGGAAGAAATATTTCTGGGTAACAATTGGACCGAGATATTTAATCATTCAATACAATAAAAAGATTCAATCTCTCTTCTTTTTAATATGTGTATAGATAATACCTGATTGATTAATAATATTTTATTTAAATTATGAAACAAATGGTTGGTCTACAAACTTTTAAGAATTATGTTGATGTATTTTTATATATGATTTCATTGGACTTATCCTAATTCTTAGTGATCATCATCATCATCATCAGTCCTTTTACGTTACCACTGCAGGCCATTGTGGATTGAAGAGTATTAACGACTGCAAATGTAGCCAGGACCAACGGCTAAATGTGCCTTCCGAAGCACGGAGATAATATTTTTTTAGGTCACCCTTCTCTGACTAACCGACCCTTGCGAAAGTTTCTTAACAACAACTATCGCGGGCCGTGACGCTTATCCACTACGCCACCGAGCTACTCACAGCTAGATACATATATTAAATTACCCTGCATAATCTGGATGTGGTATACGTTCAATAATCTTAGATACTTGAGCTTTGGGTCCAAAGTAGTCTACATCGTGTGCACCGGCGACAGCATCAATATTTAGCCACCTTAACAAGAAAGAGCCCTTCACGCAATGTGCAGCTGTAAGAACCTGCCACATCATACAATCAAAAATATAGATATAATCACAGATAAATACTGTAGTTATAAAAATATATTCATGTGATATTATGTCGCTCGCTCTGTCAAAAACTTTTCAGATATCATGTAGACCTACCAAGCCTTAATCTAACAACAAGCTTAATTTTGCAAACTCTTCATATTAATTAAAACATTTGTATTTGCCATTTGGTTATACCAAAAACTTTTATTTACTTATAATTATAACATTAGGTAAAATGGATAATTTGCGAATACTGCATATCACTTAGTTCAATTGTCTTGCTACGTGTAGTCGTGTCGTGATTCTACGATCTATGGATATAAAACTGTTCATTTTTCGTATTCTTTTCTTTTCTTAAGAGATTTTCTGTGCGTTTTGAACAATTCTGCCAATTTCATAGTAGGGTTTATTATATAATGAATTAATTATAAAAGTATAATGTTTACTACAGTTTACTGTACGTAGGACAAGTGTACGTTAACTGTACTGTTAAGGAACCAAAATATATTTTACGGTATGCAAGACAATACACATATGGTTATAGAATATATGGACTTTTATAATTTAATTTTGTGATTTAACAAATACATTTAGAAAAGGGGAATTAACTAGTTGGAGGATATTTTTTATACCAATGAAGAGTTAGGGATCCAATTTGGTGGAAGATCCGTCAAGTGAAAGGATAAGACGGATCATTCGTCGAATGTGAAAGGTTTAATGTTATCTATAAACATTATAAAGAGGTAAAGTTTGTTTGTTTGTAGATAATTTTCAGAAATACTATTCCTATCACAAAAACAAGGCCGATGACAATTATTTTACTATCTGTCCGTCAGGTAGATTATTGAAGAAAACACAATTTTTTTTTAATTTTCTGTGTAATTAATTTGTTAGTAGCAAGCCCACTATTCAAATTTAATGCTTGTCGTCTAAACTATTTATTGTTATATTGAAGCAAAAAATACGTATATAATATTTTATATAATCTAATTTCTTTAGAATAATTTTTTAAACACAGTCTTCATCACTATTCTTTCACTCACGCAAAGAAATCATACGTGGGCATGGTCATGGCAAAAAAGTGAAAAAAGAAAAAGCAGTTCCGTGATTGAAAAAATGCGATGATTCTGATATCCACCAACTTTAATGTATTGAAATATAATTTTGGTAATTTGATAGACAAAAATATAAATACTGACCCATCTTTCGTTTAGTAAAGATCCACCGCAAATATGTGATCTTATCCATAGAAATCTAAGCTGTAAAGACACCATATAGGGATGGCTATGAGGTTTGGCTGTGTGTCCACCAACAATTCTACCTTCTGGTTGGTCTATAGCGTTTGGGATTGCTGTGAATTTTATTATATAAATATAAGATGTATGTATAACGTACTTAATTTTGGATGAAAAGGCAATATATAAATATATATTGCTTACACAAATACAAAATGAAATAAAATGAAAATCTTAATTGCTCTACCTACAGTGTTTATGAGTTCCGAGCTATAAAAAGAAGACAGCAATCTTTATAGAATATATCGAGTGTCTGTCTGTCTGTTTATCCATCAGTCACACCAAATTTTCTTAGATATAGGTATTCATATGAAACATGGCATTCTTTTTAGGAGGATCAATGATAAATTTTAAAAAGTTTTGTAAACTATACCATGTGGCATATCAAATTAAAGGGTTTATTGTGAAATTCTTTTGAAATTAATTAAGAATCGAGCCGCTCCTTATCTCCGAAACTACTCGTTTCTATACTTATGTATAGATTACAGGAAAACCTTTTATAGATAGCTAGAATACATGTGACGTTGTCAATTTGCTCTTATGAGGTCATGGTTATAGGATTAGTACTCAAGATACAAGGTTTTACTTACTATAGGCGTTCACCCATCTTGTTAAAACAAAAACCACTAAAGTTATATTTAAGAAGTTCATAGTATATAAAGATAAAATTATCACAGAGTGCGTTGCATCGTGTTTTATGGTTTTATAAATTATTATAGGAGATGAATGTTATCTTTACGCATATTTTCAGAGGTTCTGCACATTTAAAGTGAGTAAGTGTTATAATAGTTATTTAAGATACGAGTGCGGAAAGTAAGGTTTTACGAATAAGGGCCAAATTGGTTTTTATTGGCACGAATTCGAAAAACCTTTTACGCTCAAGTTTCTTACAACATTTTTCAATGCTTTTTGCGAGGAAATAAAACAAATATATAGTTTAATAAAACTATACATACTTAGTTTAAAAGGAAAAAAATATTTGTTAAAATTAAACGTTATATTTGAACATGTTTTCGTGTCATACATTTTTATTATAAAATATTCATTCTAGGCTCCTTGAAATACTTTTGCCTCTGAAGTTTGACATATTTTCATCAAGTTTTTTAAATTTCTTTGGTGCTCGGCCAAAAAAAAATAAAAAAATACTATTAAGCACGTGTGCAGTAAAGGATTTCAGTACATTTTTATTTAACACGTGTTTAAAGACTCACTTTCGGTGTTTACAATAGATTAAAAAAATAGCGCTTTATGAGCAACTGCATTGAAAAGTATTTGATTTGATGTGATTTCAATGAACGCTATTTTGCCATATCGAAGAGTGGGTAAGATGTTATGATACAGTAACAAGAACAGGGTCACATAAGCTATCATTGAAATGCCATTATCGTTAAATTAGCAGAATTGAGCCTCGGGTCACTACTAAAGATCTTTCTGTAATCAGTTTTAAACTTAATTATCAAGATAAGTCAAGAAATATTTGCATAAAAATTGCCTTTCGAACTAATCTGCATTCTCTCATTATATAAAATTGACTGCAAAAATACAAACCGACATAGGCCCTGCTTAACTAGGGAGTTATTAAATATGCAATTGATGAAATATACCTATTAAATAATGTAAATATTTTAAAATCATATTTGACAGTGATAAATCTACTTACCGGTTTTCGATTGAACCGAAAATATGGAAACTAGGATGACAATGCAATATTAATGTGGAATTGAGATTACCTGATGATAGATCCGGAAGGTAGTCGTCAGACCTCTATAATTAATCTGCAACCCTCATCGAGTTTAGGTTCATCTTAACAATAACTTTGCTTCCAGATAATATGTAGGGTATGATAATGATACTGGGAGGTGGCTATAGGAACTTTGTAAATTGTTACGGTAAATTGAAATTCCATGTCGTGGCCGAATTAGCTCTGTCAGGGACCCAATCCAATTCTTGGGGTCTAGTTACAGCATAAAGCAAATATATGTTTCGAAATTAGATTGCACAGTGGCATCGACTGTTTTTTAATTGAGGTGATAATTAAGGAGAAGTTTCCGCATTTTTTATAGAGAAAAAACATTTTCGTTCTCAAAAAAAAGTTATTTTCTCTTGTTCAATGTATGGGCCCCTATGCAGTTGCCTACTCTGTCTTAATATGCCCCTGACTTGTTTAATTTGTTTACATGAATGTTATAAATACTAGTTTTAAAAGGATATTATTATTATTTTGAACTACTAATGTCACTACAATACAATAATATTGTTTAATATTGATTATACTTTATACAAAATGTTAACGATCTCATTCTAATTAGGTATTTGTTTAGGTCAACTGCGTACATTAATTTTCGACGCATCTAAAATGAGGTTGCGCTAAACATTCAGTCCATACGGGTTGTTATGCATTGCAAATGTAAGGTGAATAAAATCGCTACAAAGTATAGATTAAAATTAATTGGTCCTAGCACTCTTACAGTGTTATTAATAAACAACGTTAAGCTTTAGAATAAATTTGCGTTGAGACTGCACTTAGTATTAGTCAAAATTCATATTATTAAACAGAGAGATTTTTATTTCATTTTGTAGTAGCAAAGGTTAACTAAGTACGAGGTTCTACGGTAGTAATATTTACTCCTAGAAGGTGGTAGATTTGCTTATTCTCTGTATCACGAATTTGGACTAATATTATAATTGAAATTTTAGCGTTAATTTACTCTGACGCTTTACCTTGTTTATTAATAGCAATGCTAGCATATATGAAACATACCAA